TGTAAATGTTGGATGACCGAATTGTCAATGGCTTATCAACGAAAAATAGTAAAATAATGTTTTACGAGTAAAAATATTTTAAGTATAATGTATGCAAGTCAACACAGCGGTCCACAAGGAGATCTCAACTAATAGTACTTATTTTCCTTCATTTTTCCTGTCAAAGTTTTTATTTTTGAGTATAGTTTTTGCTTCCTTTTTTTTCAAACCATTTTTTTCTAATTTATTGTAAAAGTAAATAAATATATCGAAGCGCAGATCATGATTGTGTTATGTACTATTTTCGTCTTTTGATGGTTCTGTTTTCCTGATATTCCTTCCTTTAGGGAAAGTGGTAAAAGATCTGGTATAATTTAGGGTTATCCCAAGGATTAAATTTGCCAGTGGTCACCTTAACGCCTAGATAGACTACACAGAGCAGAGAGGCACTGTGAGAGTGAAGTGTCTTTTTCCAGAACACAATGCAATAACCCCAGCCAGGGCTTGCACCAGGACCGCTCGATCTGGAGTGCAGTGTGCTAATTACCAGGTCACGGTTCCTCCCACAATGCACAGAGAGTGGCATTTTCGCCGAGTTCAAGGGCTATGCAAATCAGAATTTTCGAAGGCTTGATAGTGATAGTTATGCAACCAAAATGACTAGCGAATCGGTCAGCTTTACAAAATGAAACTTCCGCGCGCACCCACGACCATATTTTTCCGGGACGTGCGCTACTGGCCGGTGCCAAGACTTTCTGCCGCAGGATAAACGTCGGTATCCTGAAGATAGGATAGTGTTTTTATAGTTTGTGGCGAAGCAAAAAAGAAACATTTAAATCTCACGTGAACTTTTACGTCTTGTTATTATTGGTTACAGTTTTGAAATTAAGTTTAACTTGTTCAGCATGTATCAGTCAAATCGAACTCCCACAGCCCCTTGGCATTAGAGGTCATTAGACATTCTAAATTTTTAGTCGGCCAAATTTCCAGCCCCCCGGGCATTATTGGTGTTCAGGTGCCCCACCTTAGGGTCATACTGCGCGATCAAATGCCCGAACCTGAAAAGGAAAAATGACAAAAATATATTCTTTGAACGACCCCTTATAGCTTCGACTGTGCCAAGAATTATTCTTTTATATATTATTAGTTAAACCATAGAGTAAGCAAAATATTGACTTGACGTTTATAAGTGATCCTTTATAACATTAGCTTCAAACACTGTGCAAACCTCAAAAAGGCATACTGTCTGATCCAAAGTATACAGGGAACTTCAAAATAGCGTCAATTTCGCAAAATGTGAATATTCAGTCCGTACTGCAGTCCACGTTTTGATCTGATTTACGAGTTTTATAACAAGCAATTCTTGAGATTCTTTAGTTCGAAGGGAGTTCTTTCAACCAGGGAGAGCTAATGGTAGCAAAAGCTCAAACATGGTTTCTTCAAAGCTTAAACAACTTCTGAACTTTGCGCGGGTGAAAATGACGACGATAATTTCAAGCTGCCAGCAGTGGATTTAACTGTTCCTGGAGGTAGGCAAACGCTTCTGAGTTATAAAAATATAAGTGAAGTCCACTGAACGATGTTTTTGACGATTCGAATTATAAGTTGAATAAGCCGGACAATTTGACCAGATTTGTTTGTAACTCCATATTTAATTACGAATGCAACTTTTAAGTCTCGCTCTGCTAATGATAGGGACAGTACATCTGCGGAAAAATGTGGTTGGAAACATGTGAAAACTGCAACTTAAGATCGTTTTAATAAGTGCCCGCTTTCCATGTTGGGAAATGGGTAGATGTGCTCTCATCTGTAAGATAAAATGTTTTTGTCAACATTGGCCTGGGATCTCCCGGCACGCCTTGCGAGTCATTCCAACACCGCCTGGGAATGGGGAGGTCTACATCAGATGCGACCAAGACTGTAGCTGTTCGGACGCACGAAGGATAATCTAAACAATTAGATTATGAGCTCGAAATTTCTATGAGGTGACGAGTTGAGGAGGCCGAAGGCCGAATCAGCTATCGCCTCAGAATTCGAGAGAGAAATCAATAAGCTTACATTAGAAAAACACAGTAATTATTCCAAGTCGTATATGGTGCCGGTAGTTGTTAACATCTGTTGAGGGGCATTTGTTCGAAATTCTTGTACCAGCTCATTGTCTGGAGTAGTATTGTGAGTCGTGCATATTGAGCAGAACCCTACTCCTCTTATAGCCTCACTTTTACTCCCTAGGACGCTTTTCTTCTCTCCCCAAACCACTTCTGAGTTTCAATTCAAGATGGCGCTCGCTTGATCAAACCTCGCTCGCGCGCCAAAATACGCCTTTTGCTGACCAGCCCACATTCCTTCGTGTTGTTGTGAGTAGACTGTGAGCGAAGTTCAAACTAAAGGTGGAGATAGGGAAAGAAGCAGATAGATGTTGTAAAAATATTTAAACACATTTTTCTGCTTCATTCCCTTTGCCCACAATTTGAATTCCTACATTGCATCCATCGCTGCTTTTCGCTTACAGTCAACTCACAACAACACGAAGGAAAGTGGGCGAGTCAGCAAAAGTAAGTGGCAGTGGTTGCTGTATAAACATTCGAGCCCATTCCACGGTTAATTGTTTATTTTGGAAAAATTGGTACCAATGCCCCCGAGCACTTTTATGTATAAACTGCGAATTTCTTCACAGCTTTATATCCAAAATGCTGGATTGTATGGCGAGCTATGGCGAGCAAAGACAAAATTGAGTTTTTGTATCTTCGAGTTTAAGCTTAATAACGATAAATCAATAATGTAGAGGTTTGGTCAAGACTAAAAGCTAAGCACTTAATTTTTAATACAGTAAGAAAGGAAAAAGAGGGTTTGTTTTTCTTGGATCAGAAACTCAAAATATGATCAACTGTGAACACGTAATATTGTTCAGCGTGTGGTTTAACTGTTTTTTCCAGCTAAATTTTGACAAATTATACCCAATAAGCGTAACCAAGATTGTAGAAATTACGTACGCAATATATCAGGGACTTTCCAAGAAACGATTGTGCAAGGAATATGTCGAAAGAAGGATTAACAACGCGCCAGGGGATAATTTGCGCCGACGTTTTGCTTTTGCACGTACTCCCTCCTTCTCCCCCAGAGTAGTAACTTGACTTGAGCCTGCTATCCAAACGAAAACCAGTACCGGCTCAGCGGTCAACTTAAAAAAATACAAGCAACCACGATCAGCTCTAAAAATGAGCCTGCCATATGGTCACGTGATATTGGTAAGTGGATACCTTGTTTTGACAGCTGTCAATTAACCATAACATGGATCTCCAATATCAAAGATGTACCTATTGTAATGGTACTACTCTCTTATTTTTCAAGGTATTGAGCTTGTCGTACGAACTTACGCCAAGAAGATCTGGGTAGATATGCTGGATCCATTTCAACATCGTCAGGGGAATATATAAAAGATAAGTTTTTAACAAAACAGTATCCGGTAGGTCACACAGTTTGCAACTCTTAGTTGTCCTCACCATACCAATCCTTGAATACCTAACTTGTTCTGTTACTAGAATATTGTAGATTAGGATCGATACCACCAGTTTGCACTGGACCACCATCGACCAAAACAGTAAATTATATTTGCGGCCCCCAGAAAATTTCTTAGAAGATAAAAAAATAGTTGGAAGGTACAGAAAGAAATTTTTTTACGACCTTCGACTGTCTGCATGCATAGAAAGGATCTTGAAGTTTATACAAGAGGCGGGTGTAAGTACTGACCTACAAAAGAGTTGGTTCCATTCAACAAATTCCTGACCCTCCCTAAAAAATTGAAGAAGAAAAATTGTTTTGGCCATGGGACTGTCTGCGTCTACTTAGAGTTCATGGAGCACATGTAGTATAAGCTGTGGAACCGGTCAATAAGAACGTAGACGAAGCTGTACAAAACCATCGCCTAGCAACAATGGTAGAAATTGCGATGGATCATCCCGAGACGATCGAGCGTGCAACACGCGCAACTGTCCAGGTGATAACCTAAGGAGTCAAACATCTTTCTTTGTTTTGAGAAACAATTTTGTTTGTCTTTTTTGTTAGTCTCGAGTGCGTAAGTGAATAAAGATATCTGTGAGTTGGGGTTTGTTAACTTCACTTCGTTGTAATACTTACCACTTAAATCAATAGTATCTACGGCAATAGATGCTAAATTGACCTCGCTGATTTTTAAAAGCGCTCTTCCAAAGGCACAAACTTGTTCAGTGAGCATTCAGAAAACCGATGATATTTTTTTCTGTCTTTTTAAATAGCACGTGTCATTGGTTTTTTTTTTTTTTTTTTTTTTCGATCTCGTTTCGTTCTTCTGCATGGGTAAGGTTCCTCCCAGCTGATTTTTTTTTTAAAATTCCTTCTCCTTTCTTTTCCTTTATTCCTGTACCCACCGTTTGTTGTCTATTTTCTTGCCTTCTTTTAAAGTCTACTCTTCACTTTTGCTCGAAGTTGATTAACTTTTCATTTTGTCGTCACAATACAGTACACGGTGGTTGGTCAAGTTGGAGTGGATGGACTTCATGCACTCAGTCCTGTGGAACCGGTTCTCAAGAACGTTCTCGAACCTGTACCAGTCCCCCTCCACGTTATGGCGGGAACTTTTGCCTTGGAAACCCGCGGGAAAAACTCCACGTTTTAATCTTGACCTTTACCTCAGAGTTCCACAGCGTCGTACAATTTTTCTTAGCCTTAATATGCGTTTCTACGCATCACATCTCAATCTACGTTCGCTTCGAAATTCTCTGAGCTCTCTTACGAAACTTTCTTCGCGAACTTCGCGAACTAACTTACATTCTAATTCTCAAAGAGTAAAGTTGAACGTACTTATTCAAAACAAAATGTCACGTGCACGCGAAACTTATCACATCAGTCGGATTCTATTGATATTCTATTCGATGGATGTTCATTTGACTTGTCAATTATTCGAATTCACGTGCTAGCAGGCGTTTTTAAAATATTTTCGGTCGACACGCATACAAAAGACACGACAACTGTGCAACAAGCAGTTATGCCCTGGTAAGAAATAAATTGTTTGTCTTCCATTATCCCTTGTTTGTTCATTTCATAAGATTTGTTTTCTGTTAATATCCCACGGAAAACTTTGTATTACTAAGTCCGGCTTCGTTTATCGCGAAATTAGAGGAATGTATCTTTAAAGTTCTATTTTTAGCGATTCCCTTGAAATTCTCAGCATCTCTTAGCATTTTTGAGGGCAGGAGGGCAGGAAGAGATGTTGTTTTCGGAGTTGGCTATAGTGATTGGTTTCCGTTATTTGTATTATTTCGCTCGGCTAGTGACCGGAAATAGCATGTTCTAGTTCCTGTCCAAGTCTCACTGATGTCTCTCGTTGGTTCTGTGGTTTTTGTGCTTCTACGATGTCACCGGGTCAACTTTAATCCACACCAAAAATGTGTGTTTAGACGTTTCAGGCATAGCAAACCTTTGCAGTTTGACCTTAGTGAATTCTGAAATACAAGGCAGCATTATACCGCCACACTTTCGCGAATTATCAAAAAAGGAAAGATGTGTAACAACGAGTAAAAGCATGGAAACGGTCTTAAAATCCGCCGTATTCTTCGTGTTGTTTTTCACGGAGACGATTGCTCCTATATGTGACCGCGACTCTCAAATAGCAGCTGGAAACGATCCCGATCCATGGGATGAAGATCGGCGCTGGGACACTGATCAGGATTACATGACTTACTACTGTGTTTGGAAAAGTTGGAGCAGTTGGAGCAGTTGTTCTCGTGGAAAAAAGACACGTTATCGCGTAGAGGAGGATGACGTGAACAATTGTCGATGTGACATAGAATTTCAAACGCATACGTGTAGGATTTTGGGTAAGTCTTCGAAATTTGGTGTTCTCCTTTCGGCTGTCCCTCAGTGGGCCCGTGTTCACCAAGTAAACAATGAATCAGGCCTGGAAAAATTTCTCAGCAAATATGAGTGTTCGGCAGCTCACAGTTGTGCTAACTGGAGTTGTTCATTTTTGCAGAGTAGCTTGGTGGCCCTGTGTTCGGAGAGGGTGTTGTTTATTGTTTGATAAGTAGTGATATGGCAGGCACAATGCGACAGCAAAGTGTGGTCTCAAATCTTTAATTGGTATACTTCTACAGTTCCCTAAAACATCGCGCAGCTGTAGGTCGTCTATGTCGACACTTGAAAACATACTCGAGATCGCTTTAATTTGCCTCAAAAGTATGGTGAATACGTACACTCGAGAACATTTATGTCAAATTATTATCACTCATCCAGCTCCGCTTAGTAGAGTACAATATAACTCGCAAAAGAGTTGCACTGCCTTTTGCCAAGCTCTGTGTTCTTGACGGCACAACGGTTGTGCTTAGGTCCGATTCCGTCGGACCATTTAACAAAGGAAGTAAGGATTAACAAATATGTGTCATATTGAGCACATCGACGTTATTAGGAATTAGAAGTGTCCGAAGAATTTCCTTTCTGTGCTTTAAATCACAACAGTGTTGATCTACAAATCGTTGTGTGACTTTTTTTGCTTTTCCGCTTCCGCGATGTGACTGGGTCAACTTTAATCTACATATAGAGGTGTCTTGTTTTGTAAATCTCGCCCTATTTTTTACTGTAGTATCCAGTTTTACTCTGACCTTGGTGTAATTCAGTTTCTTCGTAACAATTCATGTTCGGCTCCGTCGCATGAATGCCTACGTGGACATTGTGAAGTAATTGTGAAGTTTACCAGCCTTTCTTTGCTCTGTCTGGCAATACATTGATCGCTCGTTTTATTTATACATGTAGATGATTATTCAATTTTCCATGCTAGTAATTTCCTCCCGTCAACTTTCCAACAAACTAGCTTCTTCCAGACCCTGCCTTACATGTCCTTTCAGCTAATTTCTGTTCACTTTTGTTACAATGCAGTACACGGTGGCTGGTCAAACTGGAGTGAATGGACTTCATGCAGTCAGTCCTGTGGAACCGGTTCCCAAGAACGTTCTCGAACCTGTACCAGTCCCCCTCCACGTTATGGCGGGAGATCATGCGCAGGAGCAGCGCGGCAAACGCAAACATGCAACAAGCAGGCGTGCCCTGGTAAGAAGTGAAAAATGTATCGTAACATCTTCTAACGCTTGCACAGCCCTGGGTATTTTCCTAATTACCATGCGCGGGATTTTGTTTTTGTTTTTGTTTTTTTTTCTCTCATCACAATCGGAAAAGCTATGAGCTGTTGTTGATGTTTTCTCGTTTGGCGCACGCTCGCTGATAATTGAACAAATCCCTCCTGCAAGTTTTGTCATTCAACTACATGTACCGTCCACTCTCATTCTTGGTTTTCCTATAGGATAAACATAACTATGATCAGTGATCTGTTAATCGAGAATGGGGTTACAACTTTACCGTGAAACGTAACAGACAGACAGACAAACAAACAAGTGTCTCCACTTGTTTGTCGTTACTTATTGCTCTTTCACTCTGTAGTTAATGGCGGCTGGTCAGGTTGGGGTGTATGGTCAAGCTGCAGGAACCCGTGTGATGTTGTTGGGACACAAGGAAGATCACGGAGCTGCACGAATCCACGACCTCGAAATGGCGGGAAATCTTGTCCGGGAGCGGCCAATGAACAACGCTTGTGTATCACGCACTCATGTCCGGGTAAGGAAAAAAAGATAATTTTCCTGTTGTGTGAAAAGAGCTTAATATGGTTAAAAATCTAATCTTATCATATATCTTGTGCTTTCGGAGAAATACGAATGTAAATCTTATTTGACACAAAGTTAAGAAAGTTTTAAGGGCCCATTAACCGATCTTTTCGAACCGTTGCTAAGGAAAATTTATTCTCATATAACCTCATCATTTTTGGTTAGTTCAGAGTTATTTCATGTGTTTTAACTTTTCATGATCAGTAACACTAGTGATGACGTCATCAGGCCACGCCCATGGTCATGTGACTAATACTGAAAAAACGCAAAGGCTCCCAGGCAAATTACTTTATCGGGATTTTTTTCATTGATTTCATATTTTAATTTAAATCCTCATTACGCTATGCATAGATTTTGTCTCATTTTCAAAAGGTAAGATTTTGAGAGAATTTCAAAATATTAAAAAGTTCGTAATTTTCTGAAAAAAGCATGATTTTGAGAAAAGAATGCATAGCTATCTTTCCAACGTTGGCTTTAATCGAAATCCGTCGAAAAAGGCTGG